CGTTCTAACCCTGACGCATTCTCGAAGTAATCCAGACGTTCCAACCCTGACGCATCCCTAAAGCAACCCTGACTTTCTAACCCTGACGCATCTCCAAAGCAACCCCGACGTTCCAATCCTGACGCATCCCGGAAGAAACACCGACGTTCCAACCCTGACGAATCCCCAAAGCAACCACGACGTTTCAACCCTCACGCATATCAAAAGCAACTCCGACGTTCCAACACTAACGCATCCTTAAAGCAACTTCGACGGTTCCCACACTGACGAATCCTTAAAGTAACCCCGACGTTCTAAACCTGACGCATTCCCAAAGCAACTACGAGGTTCAAACATTGACGCATCCCTAAAGCAACGCCGACGTTCCAACCCTAGCGCATCCCTAATGCAAATACGACGTTTCAACCCTAACGCATCCTTAAAGCAACATCGACGTTTAAACCCTGACGCATCCCCGAAGCAACCTACACGTTCAAACCCAGACGCATCCCTAAAACAACCCCGACGTTCCAACCCTAACGCATCTTTAAAGCAACCCCGACGTTCAAACCCTGACGCATCTCCAAAGCTACCCTGACGTTCCAACCTTAACGCATATCTAAAGCAACCCTGACGATCCCATTCTGACGTATTTCCAAAGCAACCCTGACGTACCAACCCTGACGCATCCTAAAAGCAACCCCGACCTTCTAATTCTGACGCATCCCTAAAGTAATCCAACGTTCAAACCAAGATGCATCCCAAAAGTTACTCCGACTTTCCCACACTAACGTATCCCTTAAGCAACTTCGACGTTTTCACCCTGACGCATCTCTAAATATACTTTGAAGTTCCCACCCTAAAGCAACCCCAACGTTCCAACCCTGACGCATCATCAGAGCAACCCTGACGTTCCAACCCTGACGCATTCCTAAAGCAATCCCGACGTTCCAACCCTGACGCATCGCAAAAGCAACCCTGACGTTCTAACCTTGACGCATCCTCAAAGGAACCCAAACTTTCCCACCCTGACGCATCCTAAAAGCAACCCTGACATGCTAACCCTGACGCATCCTTAAAGCAACCCCGATGTTCCAAACCTTACGCATTCTGCAAGCAACCCCTACGTTCCAAACCTGACGCATCCCCAAAGCAACCCCGACGTTCTAACCCTGACGCATCCCTAAAGCAAGCCTGACGTTCTATCCCTGACGCATCCCTAAAGAAACCCTGACGTTCAAAACCTAACTTATCAAATCTTTTTTCTTTGGAATAAAAATACTTTAGTCATTAAATCTCTTTCGGCTTGAATAAAAGTACTTACCTCATTAAATC